AAAAAGAAAAAAAGGCCTACTGACTATCTATACACGAAATATAGTTTAATTTTCACTAGTATCTCTTTGACTTTTGTGTGTGTACTGTGCATTTTCCATTCACAGCTGGTGCTCTACTACTTTATACTTCCAGTTCCAATTTTTTGCGGATTAACTAGAGGTAATAGTCTACTGGATTCCTCTGAATCCATGATTAGAAGAACCATGATCCTTATTCCCAAGTACTAGGATTATAGGCATGAACTACTGACAACCCACTCTTTAGCTTCTTTTTTAGTTAAAAGAATAACTTGAGCTGGATGCCAGTGGCTCATGCCTATAATCCTAGCTACTGAGGAAGCTGAGATCTGAGGATCACAGTTCAAACCCAACCTGGGCAGAAAAGTCTGTGACACTCTTATCTCCTTAACCACCAGAAAACCAGAATGGAGCTGTGGCTAAAGTGGTAGAGTGCTAGCCTTGAGTGAGAAAGCTCAGGGATAGTGTCCAGGGCCTGAGTTAAAGCCCCAAAACAACAACAAATAACTTGGATGTGTTGAGTCTGAGCATCTTCTGGTCTTGATCATGGCAGCCTCTCAACTGAATTTTTTTTGGGGGTGTGGGGGGGTCCGGTCGCGGGGCCTGAACTCTGGGCCTGGGCGCTGTCCCTCACCTCTTCAGCTCAAGGCTAGCACTCTACCACTTGAGCCACAGCGCCACTTCCGGCTTTTTTCTTTTTGCTTATGTGGTGCTGAGGAATTGAACCCAGGGCCTCAGGCATGCAAGGCAAGCGCTCTACCACTGAGCCACCTTCCCAGCCCCCAACTGAATATTTTGCCAACTAAACGTCTCATGTCATCTTCTAAATTATATAGGGAAACCCTTTGGCTCCCTCTTCCAAGCAAGGCCAACAGTCTACTCAATAAAAAGTGGACTGTCAATTCTCTGTATCCCTTTTAAGATTAAAAGGGGCCAATGTCACTTTGGGAAGAAATGAGGTAGGGTAGATAGATGAAGAGTCAGGGAAATTACATTATTTTTAATAAATGTTAAAAGGGCCAGACTCAAAAATTCAAACCAGGAAGTAAACTGAAAGGCAGATAAAGTTTATCTCTCACCATTCCTTTTAAATATTAAGTTACAAAATCAAGAGATATGAGAGTGCTACCCAAATCTGCCTTCTCCTTTGAAATGGTAAAAATCTGGGAACTCATTGTGGATGGGTAAAGACAAAGAATGGAAACCTGATCTGGCAAAAGGAAGTCCTGAAGGTTACCTGTGTTTTGGGTGGGCTCACCCATCTTAACTAAATTGTCTAATAATTGGGGGTTGCTAGACTAACATGACCAAGTGTATTTCCCCAGCTCAGAAAGTATACTTTCTGGGGCTGGGAAGGTGGCTCAGTGGTAGAGCACTTGCCTTACATGCTCGAGGCCCTGGGTTCGATTCCTCAGCACCACATAAGAAAAAAGCCAGAAGTGGCGCTGTGGCTCAAGTGGTAGAGTGCTAGCCTTGAGCTGAAGAGTTGAGGGACAGCACCCAGGCCCAGAGTTCAGGCCCCACGACCAGACCCCCCCCAAAAAAAGAAAGAAAAAAAAGAAAGTATACTTTCTCTTTTACCACTTCTCCCTACTTTAACCTTGTTATACTAAAATAAATCCTTACTAAAACCTTGAGGGAAAAAATGATATTATGAAATGTAAAGAAGCAGCATGGTGCTGGTGGCTCATGCTTGTAATCCTAGCTACTCAGGAAGCTGAAATCTGAGGATCACAGTTTGAAGCCAGCTGGGGCAAAAACATCCAGGAAACTCTATGACTAATCACAAAAAAAGCCAGAAGTGGAGCTGTGGCTCAAGTGGTATAGCACTAGCCTTGAGCAAAGGTGCTCAAGGACAGCACCAAGGCCCTGAGTGCAAGCCCCACAATAGACCAAAAAAAGTAAAGAAGCATTCAAAACATTTAAATTATTCAGAATCAAATCAAATTTCTTTGAAGAGATGTTTCAACAGCATCTTCTAGTGGCACCTGATGTGTCATTACTATGGATGGCTTTCATTTCATATCTTACAAAGTACAGGTCACAAACTGGCAGCCAGTGGGCCAAATTATATCAATTTATGTATTCTGTTGGTCTTGAGTTCACTCTAGAATGGGGCTGGGAATGTGGCTTAGTGTTAAGAGTGCTTGCCTAGCATGGATGAAGCCCTGGGTTCAATTCCTCAGTACCACATAAACAAAAAAAGCCAGAAGTAGTGCTGCAGCTCAAGTGGTAATGTGGTAGCCTCGAGCAAAAGAAGCTCAGGGACAATGGTCAGGTTCTGAGTTCAAGCTCCAGGAATAGCAAAAAAAAAAAAAAAAAGTTGTCAATACTTAATCAGTTTTTCATCTTCTCTTGAAAAATGAGAACAGAAAATACTGCATGGGCACATATGATTGGAGGAGCTACTCCTTGTAGGTTGGAAAGGTCTTCAGTTTGCCATAGTCTTTACCATGACCTACTGTCTAAACAGTGAGAAGGTTTGTCCTCCATTACCCTTCACACAGCTATTTTTCTTATACCTGGGCTCAAGAGTGCCTGCCAAGAAATCAAAGGATCTGATAAACAAGGTCAGTAATCTTCAACAATAGGAACCAACAATAGTAATCTTCACATTGGCATTGCCCACCTTTCTCAAATAAAGAAACAGTGATTTCTCTCTTCCTGAGAAAGTCAGTCTAGTGTTGAGGTCCCCAGGGGCTGCATGTTTTGTTTTTGTTTTTTTCAGGAGATATGCCATTTTTTTTTCCTTCAGGAATTAGCTCCCCCCTCCTTTTCTTTAAAAAAAAATGCTGAAAAATAGCTCTAAAAATCCTGTATCCTCACATTTTTGGAGGGATAGTCTTCCTGTCTATTTCAGGGTACCTGAGACTAAGACTGTTAAAAAACACATACAAAAAATTGTAGTTATATAGTAGCAAGACTGAACTCTGACAAACATATATGAACTTAAATATCCGTAAGTTAATGTACACTGATTCCAATAATGTCATTTAAAAAAGACCTTTTTATATACATACAAAACTTCTAACCTGGGACTATTTCCAATTAGTAGTTATGTGTCAACCAAAACTTCCATATTCTAACTTTAAAACCCAATCTTACTTTTGGCTCAAAATATTGTAGTACCTGGTTGGGTTCCTACCCAAATACTTGAGCTTACACTGGAATGATTTCTGATTCTTTCTGAGATCAATGTATTTTAAAGGACTTACTTTTGGTCCTCTGGAGGAGCTTCTACGCTGACATGGACAGAGTCCAATGAGATAGGGTGGCTAATTTCTCATCCTACATGGACTCTCACCAACCTGTACACTCTCCCAAGTAAAGGTGTCTGAATTAGATACCAAATCCTTCTTCCTGTAGGCCACTGGTAAATTGAAGTATACAACTAGCTCTCTATTTTCAGCCTTTTTGGTTTCCTGAAACTCTGCTCATCCCTGATTTCTTTCCCAGGGACAACATCTAAGTTATCCATAAAATTCTCACCTCAGATCAAGGTCTTTCTCTCAGATGGTTTCTCTAACCTACTGCTATTTCTGAAGCACCAAAAAGCCTCTGACTTAAGAATCTTTTTAAAAGTCTATCTTCTCATTTCTACTGTCTGGGACAATTTATGAGACCAAAAATGCAGCTCTGATTAGAATAGATGTTTTTACTTAGCTGTAAGACAACTTATTCCCAGTCCTAGCGTGATGTGGCAAGAGGGGGGGAAAAAGACACTAATGATGCTTACCTTCATTACAACATACCAGCTTATTCTGAATCAAAAAATCATACTTAATTTCATTACTTTACATGTCAAAGTTTAAGTTTGTGTATTAGAAACATTAGTATTAGTACTCAAACCCTACACTCAAACTAAAACATCATGATATTTGGACTAGCATATTCTTTTTCCCTGCCATTTTCATAGCAAGTGAGTTCTATAGTAAGTTGCTCTTCCCTCCTGGTCATCTATGCATTTCTCAGAAATGCCTCATTTCACACGCAGCCAAGTATCTATCCTAAAAGTGGCTCAACAAGTCTTAGCCTCAGTTTTTTTAAAAAAATCCCTGATAATGTTCCAAGTGAATTTTCATCCTTTAGCAATCTGGGTCCGCTAATCCCCCCCCACAGAACGTATGCTCGGGATTGAACTCAGGGCGGTCTGTGAGGACAGGAGTTCTGTGCTCCTCTTAGATTCCATAGTGACAACAGGGAACAACTTTCCTCTCCAGGGATGCTTGCTTAGTTTTACAGGGAGATAATGTTACAGCTCACTGTCTTTCCCTCAGAGCAGCTGCAGGAAACTTGATGCCAGAGAACAAACAAGCACGTCCTCCCAAGAAGCTGGCAGCTGCCTTTTCAGAACAGAGAGGAAGATATTTGCATTCAAAATACTCACTTTCCTGCACAAAGCCCAAACCTCTCTTCCCCACCAGATCAGCATGTGCTGGAAGGGAAATCCAGAAATTACTTTGCCTCACAGCCCACCTTGGATCTTCCTCAGGATCTTTCCTGTTGATCTTGTCTGATGAAGGAGCAAAAACCACAGTCCTAGGCTGAATGCCCAGGAAACAAGCTGCCAAAAGCCAGCACCCATAGGGGAAAAAAAAAATGGAAAAAGATGCTCAGACCCAGGTATTCTAGGGGATGACAAAGACAGGGATTTCCACAAAGACTAAGACATCATTACACCCAGGCTAACAGCATACAGTATATGAACATGAAGTTTTCCCTTTGGAAACAAATTCTGTAGAAAAGTTATTCATAAAAATAGAAGAACATTTAGACTGGGCACTTATGGCTCACGCTTATAATCTTAGCTACTCAGGAGGCTGAGATCTGACTGAGGATTGCGGTCTGAAGCCAGCCTGGGCAGGAAAGTCTGTGAGACTCTTAAGTCCAATTAACCACTAGAAAACCAGAAGTGGAGCTGTGGCTCAAAGTGGTAAGAGTGCTAGCCTTGAGCAAAGAAGATCAGGGACAGCGCCCATGCCCTGAGTTCAAGCTCCACAACCAACAACAAAAAGTAGAACACTTACTTTTTTGACAGTCCCCTCTTTTCTACCTTCTTAAAAAGAGGTTTGTCATTGGTCAAAAACAGTCAGCAGACTAACTGGCCACCACCTCCCCACAGTTATTTCAGTGAATTTATCCCTAATGCTCATGACACAGCTTCTAGAAGGCCAGCTGAAGCCTGTTTTATAACATCCAAGAAAATAGCCCAGCTGAGCAAGTTTCTTAAATTTCTAGACACTATCATAAGAGCTACAACACAGTAAATATAACCCAGCAAAACTTGGTAGGCAGCTCCATATAATGGCTACTCAAGTCTAGCTGAGAGGTTCTGGCATCTTCTGCAGGTTGGCAAACCCATTTCAAGTGGAATGATCACGAAATCCAGATCTTGACTAGTCATGTCACCTAGTAATATATTCTGGATATTATAGAAGTGAGTGGATATTGTTACTTTTTGGCTCTTGATTCATGGCACTGTAGCTTCCACATTAAAACCAAATGGGAATATCGTCTTCAATAAGACAGATTCCAGCAGACTAGCTCTTGATTTCTGATGCTGTAATGACGTTAAAAGTATTGCAAAATTTGCAGAGCTCGATGAAGTTGGAATGATCCATACAAGTACCTTCCTGTTTCTCTTTACCTTCCTCGCTACCTCCTAGAATAGGCTTTGATCCAAAAACTGACTTAACATATTAAGTTGTTGTCAGATCTTATTTATAGACATGATTTTCAGAGCTCTGTATGAAGCCTTTTTCAAGATATGTGGTAGAAGAGTAGGGCAGAGGGGAGCAAGTACTGGCCAGAATATCCTTGTATGAGCCCTCCACTCCAAATAGGCCATGCAACCACAGAGATGAGCTGGGGAAGCAGAGAGAGGGCAGCAGCTAAAGTGGCAATGCTTAGACTCTTCCACTTCATTACAATGGAGCAACTGTGTGGAGTTCATCAGTGTAGCTGTAGCAACCAAGTTCTGCTTTGCATACCCCAGGGGTAAGAAGCTTGGAAGGAAGAGTAGGAGGATCTTCCTCACCTAAGGAGAGAAGAAAGGGAAGAATCACACAATCATTACATTTCACAGGTTCTGACACTCATGCCAGAACATCTGAGCAATAGTCTTAGTACAAATGAAGCAGACATCTCAACCAGCTCAAGATGTGGCAGTCTTATTCTCTTAACAGATTAGTTCCCTCAGCTGAGGAAGACACCTTTCCTGAGGGCCAAAGGTTTGCATGTAAATCTACTAGTTTCTGGGATGGTATCCTGCTAGGGCTCCTGGGAGAAGTGGGCTCTCCTACCTGGGGCCCTGTGTTGACCTAGGATAGAAAGAATACTACACCCATGGACCTCAGGCTCTGTATATGTAGTCATAAAGACAAAGGAGGAAGTGGCGCTGTGGCTCAAGAGGTAGTGAGCTCACTTTGAGCTGAAGAGCTCAGGGACAGTGCCCAAGCTCAGAGTTCAAGCTCCATGACTAACCAAAAAACAGATAGATAAATAGATAGATAAAACAAAATAAAGACAAAGGAGATTGGAGGGCAGTAAATATTACTGCATAGAAAAGTATCCAAAGCTCCCTTGGCACCGCAAGTGTTTTTGTATTCCAGTGTTTTTGGGGTTCAGAAAGCTTACATATTAAGCATTCTATAGTACCCCTAGCAGGGTGTGGGTGGCTCACCACAGGAGCTCAAATAAGTGAAAATCTTCATTACCATAGGGTGAATCAAAACTATCAAACAAGTTGCAGAAACAGAATTACAAAGAGCTTGATCATTAGTATTACTTTCCATCAGGTTTCACTTCCCAATAAGGTAAGCAGAAACGAAAACTAGAAATACTAATGGAAGAAGGGAAGAAGGAGGGAGGAAGGGAATAAGGAAAGGAGGGAGGGAGGGAAAAGCAAAGAAGAAATGACAGAGAAGAAGCCTGGTGCCCATGGCTCTTGCCTGTAATCTTAACTAATCAGAGGGCTGAGATCTGAGGATCTCAGTTCCAACCCAGCTCTGGCAGGAAAAGGCCATGAGTTTCTTATCTCCAATTAACTACTTGAAAACTGAAAGTGGCACTGTGGCTCAAGTGGCAGAGTGCTAGCCTTGAGCAAGAAAGCTCAGGGGCAGCGCCCAGGCCCCGAGTTCAAGGTGCACGGCAAACAGAATAGAGAAAAGAAGAAAGAAGAACAACCAACCCTTGGGGTTGAAGGAGGGGCTCAGGTCATAAAACCCTGGCCAACAAGCGAAACCAAGCTTCAGATACTGAGTTCGCAGGCATCGGATGAAAAAAACAAAACAAAAATTCTGATGTCCTTTTTAAGTCTGGCCAAAGGTTGTGTGGCCTCCCTCAGAAACACCCTGACTCCCCTGCACCTTACCCAGGCCTGAGGAGGAGGACACGCTCTCAGTCAGGGAAGACGTCTCCGTCTGGTCTGAAGAGAGTCCCTCCATTAGAGGCAGAGACAGCTCAGACGAGGGCACGGAGGAGTCATAGATGCCCGAGTCCCGTGGCATGTCCGAGGTGCTGCCGGCCTTCACAGCATGCAGCAGGGGTGAGAGGGCACAGCCGCCATGGCAGGCGGCCCCGGCCTCGGCCTCGGCGTCCCCGGCCCCGGCCTCCGCGGCCCCGGCCCCGGCCTCCGCGGCCCCGGCCTCCACGGCCCCGGCCTCCGCGGCCCCGGCCTCCGCGGCCCCGGCCCCGGCCTCCGCGGCCCCGTCCAGGCCCGTGGCCTGGCTCTCCGGGCCCGCGGGCGCAGCGGCCCCCGGGGCAGCCACCTTGGCCTTCAAGCCGAAATCGCTCTCCCGTCCAGGTCTGAAGACGACATCATTTAGAACTAGGCCCGAGTCAAACTTCTCCAGAACTGGCTCCCGGCGGCACAGCGGCGGAAGAGGGAGGGGTACTAGCTGCTTCTCGAACCAGTCAGGCTCCTCATCCATAAACCGGTGCATGTTGCAAATGGCAACGTACAGAGAGCGGCCTGACTTGCTCCGGAAGTAGTTCCTTCTACTTCCGTGCCCTGGCTGGGAGCCCGGCTCCGGGCGGCGGCGGGGATCTGCGGAGTGCAGGTGGGAGCAGAGCTGGGGAAGGTTGTCCATGAGTTTGTACTTGGAGCTCGGGTCCAGGGCGCAGGGGACATCCCCTTCACAGGAGTAATCAAAGTAGACAGCGATGACTTTGCTGAGCGCTGTGGCCGGACTCTGCTTGGCCTGGTGGAGCTTTTCCACAATAGCGGACATGGCCACCAGGAAGAGCTCCCCTTTCCCCGAGCTTCGGCTGCTTCCTCTGTGTTTGTAGTTTCTCTTGTCCACAAAGTACTTCATGCCTTTGGAACACACCACAATGATGAACTGGGACTCGTGGATCTTCTGAAGGACCCATTCTTTCTGCCCTTCCCTACAAAGGCTGAAGTCTTCCCAAAGGTCCAGAGCCACCTGGAAAGGATAAAAAGGCAACTTACTCTGATATTAGGGAGAAGAATGTAGGAATAAGTTGTGAATGATAGAGGAGGCCCTATCATCTGCCCCTTAACTAGTATTATGAGCAGTGTTATCTGTAGGCTCTAGGTTACCAAGTAAGTGGAGAAACAGTTAAGATTCTGTGTTGAGGGTCATAATACCTCACCCTCTGCAAGAGTTTGCTATTCATCAACTCATTTCATCATGAGATACCATCCCTACTGCTGCTCTAAAAGTGAGGAATCAGAAGCACCGAACTTTTAGCAATTTAAGTTACTACAGAAAATACTCTTCAGGAAACTACAGGGTAATAACAGAAGGGAACTGCGTGCATATGAGTTGAAGCTGCCAGGTGGAAGGAGAAATCTTTAGAGAGAAGACTAATAAGCTGTAAGAAAAAGGTATAGATGAACGACTTCAAAGTGTTCTAGAATACGCATCTAGGTGATAGTGATTCACATCTGGAGTGTGACTGACCTCTGGCCACTTTCACAGATCCAGGGTCAGATAGTTGGTGATACTAGAGAAGAGGGCAATTAACTAGATATGGATAATCTGGTCATATGACTATTAACTCACTCTGGAATTACCAGTACCTGCTTCATAAAGATCTACAGTGTGGCATCTATACAATGCTTGTGAGCAAGAAGACCTTATTTGTCCTTGGGGATTGAGGAAGAGCCTGATTTTTTTTTTTTTTTTGATGGCACATATGGCCTCTCAGTGGGTATCACCTTCTCAGAACATTTTGATCTAATTTTCCTGGCAATTCTGTTGGTGTTCAAAAACTAATTCCCAGCTGGGAAGGTGGCTCAGTAGTAGAGTGCTTGCCTTGCATGCATGAGGCCCTGGGTTTGATTCCTCAGCACCACATAAGCAGAAAAAGCTGGAAGTGGTGCCATGGCTCAAGTGGTAGAGCGCTAGCCTTGAACTGAAGAACTGAGGGACAGTGCCCAGGCCCAGAGTTCAGGCCCCATGACTGACAAAAAACAAAACAAAACAAAAAACTAATCCCCTGGGGCTGGGAATGTGGCTTAGTGGTAGATTGCTTACTTGCCTAGCATACACAAAACAAAGCCCTGGGTTCAATTCCTCAGCACAATATAAACAAAAGAAAGAAAAAAAAAAAAAGCCAGAAGTGGTGCTGTGGCTCAAGTGGTAGAATGCTAGCCTTAAGCAAAAGGAAGCTCAAGGATGGTACTCAGGCTCTGAGTTCAAGCCCCAGGACTGGCAAAAAAAAACAAAACAAAACAACTAATTCCCAATGGTTATGATCAAATATGGCCTCTAAGACACAGCAAATTATAAGGGAAAGGTATTCTGAAATGACTTGTTCTCTTCTGCTCTAAGATGTTAACAAAGGAAAGCCCCAACCTATCTACTTGTTGAAAATAATTCTGAATCCTTTTATTTTTTCTTTCTGTGTGTGTGTGTGTGTATGTGTGAACGCACCAGTATTAGGAGTTGAACTAGGGGCCTAGGTGCTGCCCTTCAGCTTTCTCTCTCAAGGCTGACACTCTACCCCTAAGCCACAGCTCTACTTCTGGCTTTTTGATGGTTAATTGGAAATAGGTCTCTCCCAGACTTTTTTTTTTTTTTTTTTTTTTTTTTGGGGGGGGGGGGGGGGGTCCGGTCGTGGGGCCTGAACTCTGGGCCTGGTGCAATCCCTGTGCTTTTCAGCTCAAGGCTAGCGCTCTACCACTTGAGCCACAGCGCCACTTCCGGCTTTTTGCTTTTGCTTATGTGGTGCTGAGGAATCGAACCCAGGGCCTCAGGCATGCAAGGCAAGCACTCTACCACTGAGCCACCTTCCCAGCCCTCTCCCAGACTTTCTTGACCAGGATGGCTTTGAACTATGATTCTCAGATCACAGCCTCCTGAGTAACCAGCAATACAGATATAATAAGCACCATGACTTGGCCTTATACTTCCTTTATTTTGTGCTAACTGGGTATATATGTCAAGCATTTAAAAACTATTCTTCCAGCCTGGCATGGTGGCTCATACCGGTAATCCTAACTACTCAGGAGGCTGGATCGGAGGATGGCGGTTCCAAGTCAGTATGAACAGGAAATTCTGTGAGACACTTATCTCCAATAAACTACAGAGAAGAGACCAGAAATAGTGCTGTGGTAGAGCTCAAGTAGTACAACACTGGCCTTGAGGAAAAAGAAGCTCAGGGACAGGGCTCAGGCCCTGAGTTCATGCCCCAGGACTGGCACAAAAAGAAAAACTATTCCTACCTTTGATTAATTCCACTTCCAGGCATTTCTCTTTGGGAAATAATCAGAAATGGGACAATATTGAACTACTGAGAAGTTTAACAATTCAGAGTACCTCAGTTACAGTAAACCATTATTAGGAATCATGTATTTAAAACTGCAGTATATATAGAACTGCTAACAGTATATAAAATTATTAGGAGACAGAAAAACATCATTTCAATATGCCCAAAGTATAATATTGTATATTTGAGTTCACTTACAGAGAAAAAGACTAGGGAGGAAATATACTACATATGTCTACAGTATCTGAAGTCAGTACTGTGCCACCAGTTAGCTTGCAGTTGATTTCTGGTAGGTGCTGATCTGTCAAGCTTATAGCATTCCACACAGTAGGAAATACACTTTATTTACACCAGAGGGCAATCTTTCCACACAGAAAAAGTCTGAAAGATAGGCCAATGGGGTAATTTCAAAGTACAAATAACTCCTAACTAAAAATACTGTGCAAAAAATACTGCATTTTTAAGAAGCAGTTACCCCCATATATTGCCAAAGAAAAGAAACAGGGTGTGACTTCCCTGATAACTTTGGGCTTCACTCTAAAAATGACAGTATTGAAAAGCTATATACTAGTAGTTAACTTGTATGGTTAAGAATCAGAGCAGATAACCTGTTTTCACTGTATTTCCCTGCACCTCGTATATACACTTTCCTAATTTGGGGAGGGAAAGGGAAAAAAACGAAATGTTTAAATATGGATACAGGTTGACCCATTGTAACAATGAGATGTACAAGACTCTATGTTGAAAAAGAACTTTACAACTTGTGGGGGGGAGGGAGGAGTTGGGAAAGTAGGGAAGGAAGAGATGGTAGAGGAAAAACAAGAGGAGGAGGTAACAATGCTCGATAGGAAATGTACTCAATACCTTACTCTTATAACTGTAACCCTTCTGTACGCTATTTTTACAATAAAAAAAAAATGTAAAAGCTGGGTGCTGGTGGCTCATGCCTGTAATCCTAACTACTCAAGAGGCTGAGATTTGAGGATTGCGGTTCAAAGCCAGCCCAGGCAGGAAAATCCATGAGACTCTTATCTCCAATAAACCACTAGAAAACCAGAAGTGGCACTGTGGCTCAAGTGATAGAGTGCTCGCCTTGAGCTGAAGAGCGCAGGGACAGCGCCCAAGCCCAGAGTTCAAGCCCCACGACCAACCAAAATAATAATAATAATAAAAAGAAGAAATCAGAGCAGATACTCAAGCACATGACATGTTACTGTTTTCTGGACTCTTCCCATCCTTCCTCCTGTTCTTTCCAGCTACAGTTTTCTCCTACACTACTGCTCTCTCATTTTTCATGATGTCATATTGATCAATGGCCTAACAACCTCACAGAGTCCCTTGTTAAACATACTCCCTGGTCCCCAAGATACCTTCCAGTGGCAATCTTCTCCATTCCCCTTCTCAGCAAAAGTCTCTTAAGGAATTGAACCTTCCTCAAAGAACTGTCCTTCCTTGTTGTTCCCCTCTGTTCACTGGAACTTCTCTTGTGTACATACCAAGATGTCTTGGGTGATAGCTCCTACCCTGGTTGCCTGTTGCCATAGTAGCCACTGGCACTATTAATGCTCACAAAACTATCTGCCAGCTGAATGCTACTTCAGATTTTCAAGCAGGAGTGTATCCAGGTTAAAACCAGGTATTATGAAATACTTGGTGCTAGTGATGAGTAGAACAGATGAAAAGAAGAATGAAAGACTGGCCCTCAGTTTGAAAGTATAGCACTAGTTAATAGCAGGTGTTGCCCAGTACCAAGTAGCTCATGCCTGTAATCCTAGCTATTCAAGAAGCTGAAATCTGAGGATTTTGGTTTGAAGCCAGCCCAAGCAGGAATGTCTGAGACTCATATCTCCAATTAATCACCAAAAAGCCAGAAGTGGAATTGTGGCTTAAGAGGAAGAGTGCTAGCTTTGGCCAAAAAAGTCCAGGTAGGAAGTGGTGCTGTGGCTCAAAGTGGTAGAGCACTCACCTTGAGCTGAAGAGCTTAGAGATAGTGCCCAGGCCCAGAGTTCAAGCCCCACGACCAACCAAAAGAAAAACTCTGACAGTGCCCAGCCCCTGAGTTCAAGCCCCAGGAGGGACACAGGGGCGTAAGCACGAGCGTGCGTGTGCACGCACACGCGCGCGCACGCACACACACACGCACACACGCACGCACGCACGCACACACACACACAAATAGGTGTCACAGAAGCAGGCCTGGAGGAGTGGAGAAGACAATAAACCGGGAGTATGGAGCATATGTACTGCTTGGAGGGGGGTGGGGGGAGAAGAGACTAGATTCTGTACCTCACAGCCACAGAAGTCCTGGAGAAAGTAGGCGAAGCACTGGATGACGTTCACGTGATTCTGGCCATCTTTGCTGGAGTAGCAGAGGAAGACCTTGGGCCGTGGCCGAAGCCTCTCCCTGGGGAGTGCTGCAGTGTATGTGGAGGACTCAGAGCTCTCTTCATCTAAGTGTGAGTATATATTTTCTAAATTGGGAAAAAGATAAGGTTGATAGCTATGAGCAACGTTTTATCTTATTTTATATGACTTGGAATTCAGTGATAACTTCAGGAACAAACAGTTGTAATATCCATATAGAGTCCTGGTCCCCAATTCATCAGCCTCCTGGGAATATTCATAGGAATGGTACATCTAGTTTCTGCAACTAAGCATCAAAAAGTAAAAAAACAAAACCCAAAATCATTCTTTTCTTTCTCTTTGTGTGTGTGTAAGAAAGAGAGAGACAGACAGATAGGCAGACAGACGAGGCAGAAAGAGAGAGAATTATTGGGCTTGAACTCGGAGGCAGAGCCAGTGTTTGCTCCGTCAGCTTTTTTTTTGCTCCAGGCTAGCATTCTACCACTTGAGGCTACCTCCACTTTTGCCGATTAATTGGAGATAAGGGTCAAACAGACCTAACTGCCTGGGCTGGCTTTGAACTTTGATCTTCAGATCTTAGCCTCCTGAGTAGCTAGGATTATACAAAAATAATTCTCAATTTGAAATTGACCTTAGACAAAACAAGAAATGCTGCAAAGGCTGCTCTGGTCAGTGAAGTACCTAGAACTGGCTGTTGCAACATGGATGATCTTTAAAAAAAAAATTAGAAAAACATTTATTGAATGTAATTTATAAGGGTAAAGTATATAAATCTTTCTTTTCTTTTTCTTTTTTTATTTGAGATGATATCTAACTCCATTGCTTAGGCTGACCTTCATTCCTGGGCTCCAAGTTCCTGGAACACCAGTAGTACCCCATCATACCCAGATAAAAGTACATAAATCTTTTTCGTTTGTTTGTTTGTTTTTGTTTTATCGGTTGTGGGCCTGAACTCTGGGCCTGGGCACTGTCCCCTAGCCTCTCTGTATTCAAGGCTACCACTCTACCACTTGAGCCACAGCACCACTTCCAGCTTTTTCTGTTTATGTGGTACTGAGGAATCAAACCCAGGGCTTCATGCATGCTAGTTAAGCACTCTACCACAAAGCCACATTCGCAGCCCAAAGTACATAAATCTTAAGTGTACACGTGTGTAACCTCCACCCAGAACAACATAGATAATCTCCAGTGTCCCAGAAAGTTCTCATATGACACCTGATTCTTTTTTTTTTTTTTGTATGTGTGTGTGTGTCAGTTCTGGTGCTTGAACTCAGGGCATGAACACTATCCTAGAGCTTTATGTGCTCAAAGCTAGCACTCTACACTTGAGCCACAGCTCCACTTCCAACTTTGTTTTGGAAGTTCATTGGCGATAAGAGTTTCATGGACTTTCTTGCCTGGGTTGGCTTTAAACTGCCATCCTTACATCTCAACCTCCTGAGTACCTAGGATTACAGGTATAAGCCACCAGTGTCAGGTGACACCTGACTCCTGGAAAGCCCTCACTATATTGTGGTTCATACCTTACACTCTCTTATGCCCTTGAACTTACTATCCTGAGTTTGGGAGTTTAGTTATGTCTTCCCTTTTAGTGGCTTCAGAGACTTTTTTTGGGGGGGAGGGGTGGGGAGGGTCGGTCATAGGGCCTGAATTCTGGGCCTAGGTGCTGTCCCTCAGCTCTTCAGCTCCAGGCTAGCGCTCTACCACCTGAGGCACACTGCCACTTCCAGATTTTTCTACTTATTTGGTGTTGAGGAATCGAACCCAGGGCCTCATGCATGCAAGGCAAGCATTGTATCACTGAGTCACCTTCCCAGCCCATCTTCAGAGACTTTTAAGTAACATGTTTTAATTCTGAAAGCTATAGTAAGCAAGGAAGAAACTTAGAAGGCATGAGTCTTCCCAGATGCTGGAGGAACCAGGTGCTACAGTCTACCTTTCTGTTGGCATCCACCCCTGGCCTACCTCTTGGGAAGAGGGGGGACACAGTACACAAAGTGATACCTTGTTGCTTCTTGCGGCACATCACAGTGAAGAGCGTTGCAAATGCAGATATGACCACCAGTGGCACAGTGATGGCCACTGCTCTGATGGGCCCAGCCCATGGGGAATGCACTGGGAAATTCAAAACAAATATTGTTAAACTTCAGAAGTATAACAGGTTCAAGCAAATAACAATAATCTAAGCCACCTAACGGGTTCTAGGACCCCAGAACCACATTTCTCTAGCTGGAATGGTGATTATAAAAGGATTTGGTGGTTTTTCTTTAAAGAATGATGGGAAGCAATTAAACAGTTCAGTCTTCTGGGACAGCAAATACCTCAGGCTGAGAATTTTGCTTAAGGCAACGTCTCCTTCCAACATGGTTTTCCCCAAGAAGAACTGCTTTTTTATTTAGTCCAGCTGACAGACACCACACTGGCTTTGATCCTTCAGGCATCAACACCAAGGTGAGAAAAAATTCGGATTTGATGGAACCTGAGTTGTGTTTTGTTGATGTAAAGCAGAAAGTGTAGAGAACTTAAGGGATCAGATACCCCGGGTCTACAGTGGTTAAAACCTAACAATTCTTACCTGGTTTTAAGGCATAATGCATCACTTTTCTTGTTATATTTGTATCATCCACCAGCTATAAAATAGAAGGTGATAATATTATTATTATAAAAAAAATTTAAAGTTATACCTGTAAGCCTAAATGTTTAGGAAGTGGGGATCAGAAGGATCACAATGTAAGACCAACCAGATAAAAATGTTCATGAGACCCCATCTCAAGTAACAGTTGGATGTGGAGGTTCATACTTTTCATCCCAGATACAACAGGAATTTTAAATGGGTAAATCATATTCTAGGCCAACAAAAGGTGAGGCTCTCCAGGGCAAAAAGGGCTGGAGATATGGCACAACCAGGACAAGGTCTGCCTAGCAAGTGTGAAGCCTTGAGTTTTGAAATATCCTGATTTTTCTTTTCCATCAGCTGGCAGTGAGGGGTAGGTACAAAAGAAAGGACAATGGCTATGGGAAGAGAGCTGGTGGGCCTGTAAGTCACTCACTATGCTAACACTAGCCACCATGTCTACTCATATTTGTCTCCACTTTACCAACTCAAAACGAACTTCAGCTATGGGGGTGATCCACACTGTAATTCAAGCATTCAGGAAGCTGAAGCAGGAAGTTTCCGTTTGAGGCCAGCCTGGTTTACACAGCAAGATCCAGGGTAACCAGGCCTACACTTTAGAAGACCTTCATGAAGCCGGGCGCTGGTGGCTCACGCCTGTAATCCTAGCTACTCAGGAGGCTGAGATCTGAGGATCGCGGTTCAAAGCCAGCCCGGGCAGGAGAGACTGTGAGACTCCTATCTCCAATAAACCACCAGAAAACCAGAAGTGGCGCTGTAGCTCAAGTGGTAGAGCGCTTGCCTTGAGCTGAAGAGCTGAGGGACAGCGCCCAGGCCCAGAGTTCCAGCCCCATGGCCAACCAAAAAAAAAAAAAAAGAAGACCTTCATGATTACTTTCAGATGTACCCATCCTAACCCACAGAATGCCAGTGCAAAATGCAAGAACTGGGTGTTTCTACCAAAATGTTAAGACATGCATTTCAATAATGGAGCTATGGACAAATTGTTCATTTCTTTTTACTTTTTACTTTTTTTTTTTTTTAAGTCCTGGGTCTTAAAATCAGGGTTTGGGCACTCACTGTCCCTGGGCATTTTTTCTCAAGTCTAGCACTCTATTACTTGAGCCACAGCTCCACTTGGAGATAAGAATCTCACAGACTGTCCTGCCCAGGCTGGTTCTGAACCACAATCCTTACATCTCAGCCTCCTGAGTAACTAGGATATAGGCTGAGTCACCAATGCCCAGCTATTTCACTGTTTTAATACTAAACAAACTTTTTTTTTGTTTTGGCAGTGCTGGGAATCAAATCCAGACTTGTATATGCTAAACAATGTTCCAAACTCTGGTTGTTTGGTGCAGGTCCTGGGGCTTAAACTCAGGGTCTGGGCACTGTTCTTAGCTATTTTTGCTAAAGATTAGCGCTCTACCACTTCAGCCACAGCTTCACTTCCAGCTATTTTGAGGGAGGTCAGTCTTGGAGCTTGAACTGTGGGCTTGGGCACTGCCCAAGGCTAGCCCCCTTCCACTAGAGCCACAGCTCCACTTCCAGCTTTTGTGGTTAATTAGAAATAACAGTCTCATGGACTTTCCTGCCTGAGTTGGCTTTAAACTGAGATCCTCAGATCGCAGACTCCTGAGTAGGTAGGATTACAGGTGTGAACCACTGACACCTGGCTTCCCTTGGGTTTTTTTTTTTTTAAGACAGTGTTATGTTATATGGCTAAGGCTGACCTCAAACTTGTCATTCTACTGCCTCTGTACTAAGATTACTGGTCTAAAACAAAAAAAAAAATTTTTCGGTCATGGGGCTTGAACTCTGGGCCTAGGCGCTATTCCTGAGCTCTTCAGCTCAAGGCTAGTGCTCTACCACTTTGAACCACAGCACCACTTCCCATTTTCTAGTAGTTAATTGGAGATAAGAGTCTCATGGACTTTCCTGGCCAGGCTGGCTTTGAACTGCGTGATCCTCAGATCTCAGCCTCCTGAGTAGCTAGGATTACAGGCGTGATGCACCAGCGACTGGCTAAAACAAAACTTTTTAAAGCTAACAATAATCTTCAAGTATATCTTTGTAATTTAAAGGAATATAATGTGATAATTTCAAATAATGCCCATAGACTGTATAGTTATATAAAGATACTTATTTGAAGTAGTTAATGAAAAGATAAAACATTAATCATGTATAAACATATTTTTTCTGTAGTAGTGAAGTTTCTAACCCAGGGACTCAAATACTCTACCACCTGAGCCATTCCTCCAGCCCTTTTTCCTTTAGTCACTTTTCAGATACAATCTTGCTTTTTGCCAAAGCTGGCATCAGACTGTGATCCTCCTACCTATACCACCCATGTAGCTGAGGGTACAGGAGTAAGTCAATACACCCAGCTTCTTCTTTGAGATAGGGTCTCAATAATGTTTTTGTCGGTCTGGACTCAAACTGCAGCCCTATCTTCCAAGTAGTTGTAATTATAGGCATATACCACAAGGCCTGGCCCATGTATAAACATTTTTTTTAAAAGAACCATGTAAAAATACAAATGCATATCTCTTCCAGAGCTTATATTAGTGTTGCCTACAATCCTAGCTACTCAGGAGGTAGAATCTGGGAGAACAGAAGCTAAGGACAGCCAAGGCAAAAGTCAGCAAGACCTCATGTGGTCCAGTAAGCTGTGGAGAGAGAGAGAGAGAGAGAGAGTATTTCTATACACAGCTTTCTTAAGATGGGTGGTGTCTAGGTGGTGGTGAATGGAGTAGCAAGGTGGTTTTCAGTTGACAAAGTCAGTTTCAGTCAATTCAGTGCTGGAACTACTGTGTGTGGGGGACTCTTCTGTACTTGGGTTGAGGAACTGGGTTTCACAGGCTGTTACAGATAGGAACCAAGGCCTAATGTTTATGGTAAGTTCTAATGAACTTACTGCTATTACTCTGAGTTTTCAGGATGGATATATGTTCCAAGGTATATATCTTCATGCTCTGTGAAGGCCTTCCTTAATCAAGGTGGTAGTAGGAAAGAGATGGGAAGGATAGTCTTATTGGACTACTATTTGGTTATATAGGGTAGAAAAAGATGCAAGCTAACTTTGTGGGATTTAATTAGAAGGAGGAGTGAGATATATAGAGAAAAATTTAGTTGATGTTGTATTGGGTTAGGGAGTGTAGGAAGTAAAGGGAGAGTTGAATAGGCATATACATATACACAAATAAATCCCCAACAACTCCAAAGATCTAGAAGAGAGAAGAAAAACAGACAAACAATAGCAAAAAGAAACCCTCAAAAAACAACAACAACAACAACAAAACAAATGATGTAAAACAACAGTAAGAATAGTTAATAAAATAAAGAAACATGTTCAAAAAAAACTGGGCAAATTAAAAAAGAATTTGAACTGGAGAAATGAATAAACAAGAGACATCAAATGAACAAGATAATACAAACAGCTGAATGAACAAAAAAAGGTAATACATATAAGAGAATAATTCTATAAAGAGATGGAACCCTTGAAAAAAATCAAACCAAAATCCTGAAAATGAATAGTTCCATTTCCTAAATACTCAGTCTGAAGCCTTTTCTTCATTGTATTATTTATTTATTATTTTGGTATCAATGGTGGGGCTTGAACTCAGGGCCTGGGCTCTGTCTCTGAGCTTTTTTGCTCAAAGCTAGAGCTCTACCACTTGAACTACAGCTCCACTTCTGTCTTTTTTTGGCTCTGACTTGCTGTCTTAGGATGTGATCTCTTTTGGAGAACATTCCATGAAAGGCTGAACTGTGTATTGTGGCACAACTGGATGAAATACTCTGCATATGTGTGTTGAGTCAATTTGGTATATGGTGTCATTAATTATGAGGTTTCTTTGTTGATTTTGTTTGTTTGTTTATTAAGAGTGAGTGTTGGGAGCCCTTGGGAGCTGACAGTAAAGCTCAAAGGTTATCTTGACCCCTGTGCTAGCTTAAAGGCACATACAAGGAACTGGCTTACTTAAAAGACACCACGTACCCAGGATTGCTTTGCTATGTCTGCAGTTTGTTTTAAGTGTTCCTTGTTTTTCTGGACTATAGTAGAACGGCCTGAGTGTGGGGGCCCATGAGGATGCACCATGCCACATGTGTGGAATTCCCAATACCCAGGCTGCTCCCATGTTCTGAAGAGGACGACCTTACGAGATACTGACTTTTATATCTGCCCAGGAATTAATTGAACTGCTTTGGACATTTCTAACTGTGGTGGGGCTGATGTTTATTACTGTGCTAGGTGGGGATGTGAGGTAACTGGGACGGGCTCTTGAATCATGCACAAGGGCCCTCCCTATCCTTGTCTGGCGAATCTCGCCCCCCAGACTTGCCTGGAACCCCCTGTGTGGCCAATGCTATCCTTACCAATGTAATCCTGTTAAAATAACCTTTACAAAGGATAACTAACTGGGAGATGGGTCTGTCATTAAAAAAAAAGGAGGGGGGGGAATCTGAAGGGCACATGGGCAGCAAAGATGGCGCTGAGAGGGAGTTGAGTGGACAGAGCCCAATTTACTGTAGAGCACATGGGCAGCAAAGATGGCGCTGAGAGGGAGTTGAGCAGGCAGAGCCCAATTTGCTTTACGTTCAGTGCATAACCAGCCCTGGAAGCTTAGGTGCATGATAGGGTGTGACCTTGACAGTCCTCCCCCGCCATGCCACTGGCTCTTTTTTGCTTTAAAAAGGGCTTACTCTGTTAATAAATGAGTTTCTTCCTGCTTGACTTGACTCCCCGCTGCATCTGACTCCATCCATCTTTTGTGGGACAAAGACCCAACAAGTGAGGTATTAAAAAAAGACAAAAGACAAAGTGTAACTTTGGCTCAACTGGTAGAGCTCTAGTTTGAGCAAAAATGCTCAAAGACAGTGCCCAGGCCCTGAATTCAAGTCCCAGGATAAGCACAAAAGAAAAAAATAAACCTTTCATGAAAAAAACCTAAAAGAATTCATAATACTAAAGCAGCATTTCGCATTTCAAAAAATATTCAAGGAATCGTAGCCTCAGAAGAAGACAATCCAAACAGAAAACAAATAAATAAATAATAAATAACTCCTATATACAGGAATATTACATTGCAATAAAGAAAATAAAAGGCAAATAAAGAAAAATGAAATCATATCACTTGCCGAGAACTAGATATACTTGGAGGACATCATACTGAGTGAGGCAAGACAATCTCAAAGAACAAAACATCATATATTTTCTCTCATATTTGTGGGAGTTATACCTAAAAGGCATAAATGTTCATGGACATGGACATATATACATTTAACTCTATATACAAAAAAACACAGAATTTTGAATATAACTAAGAGAGACAGGAATGAGGGAAGGAAAAAGAAAAAAAGTAATATTGAAATAGGATGAATATAGCCAAAATAGATTGTTTGCAGCTATGAAAACAGAGAAAACCTGCTGAAATTGTTTCAGGAACTAGGGAGGAGAGTATGATAAAGAGGGTGAAACTGACTGGAATATTTTGTAAAAATGTATGGGAATGTAACAATGAAATCTCCCCTCTATATAACTACTTTAGGCTAATTAGATAGATAGATAGATAGATAGATAGATAGATAGATAGATAGATAGATAGATAGGATAGATAGACTAGGGCAGAAAGGCTAGGGGTGTATGGCTTATAACTTAAGTGGTATGTATGAGTGGTAGCATAACTAGCCAGCAAGTGCAAGGCCAAATTCAAAACCCAGTATGACACCAAAAGAATAGTAATTGTTCACAAATGCCATTCTACAGAACAAATAAGACTTCCTGCACTTGTACATACCTCCATTATATAATCCCCAGGAGAAATGTTTTGAAGGAGGCAGCTGGTTGTTTCAGTGTTTTGTTCCTGCAAAGAAACAAAAAGTACTTAAAAAAAAAAAGTCACCAGGGTTTCTCTCTTTCCCTAGAGTGCAAGGAGACTTAAGTTTTGATCACATTTTCTGAAGTTGTAATTAGGTCAGAAAGCAATATATTTATCTGCTACACATTATCTGATAGCTGTATCTGGATAGCTCCTGTGCTTAGTGGGTGATGCCTTCAATGGGTGATGCCTTCAACAGGAATATTTCATTTGAAGATACACACTTTTACTTATATTTGTCAGAATTATTTTTTTTTCTTTTCTTTCTTTTTTTTTTTTTGGGGGGGGGGGGGGGGAGGTGTCCAGTCATGGGGCCTGAACTCTGGGCCTGGGCTGTCTCTCAGCTCTTCAGCTCAAGGCTAGCGCTCTACCACTTGAGCTACAGGGCCACTAATGGCTTTTTTTCTTTTTTGCTTATGTGGTGCTAAGGAATCAAACCCAGGGCCTCATGCATGCAAAGCAAGTGCTCTACCACTGAGCCACCTTCCCAGCCCCCTGTTCTTTTTTTTATTGTCAGTTGTGGGGGCCTGAACTCTGAGTCTGGGCACTGTCCCTCAGCTCTTCAGCTCAAGGCTAGCGCTCTACCACTTGAGCCATGGTATAACTTCTGGCTTTTTCTGCTTATGTGGTGTTGAGGAATCAAACTCACAGCCTCATGAATGCAAGGAAAGCACTCTACCACTAAGCCACCTTCCTAGCCCCTATTTGTCAGTATTTTACCTTGAATAGAAGGTCAAAGAGATTCAATGACAAAGGTGAGAGCCAGTGGGCCAGCCAAGTTAGGACAGTAACCAACACACATAAGAACAAGCAAGATGGGCTGGGAAGGTGGCTCAGTGGTAGAGTGTTTGCCTTGTATGCATGAGGCCCTGGGTTCGATTGTTCAGCACCACATAGGCAGAAGAAGCCAGAACTGGCGCTGTGGCTCAAGTGGTAGAGTGCTAGCCTTGAACTGAAGAGCTGAGGGACAGTGCCCAGGACCAGAGTTCAGGTCCCACGACTGACCAAAAAAAAAAAAAAAAAAAAAAAGGTTCAAGATGAAACTGAGTTTTCCACAATGATCAAAAAACTTTGTTGGAGACAGGAAGATGGCTGCCAAACTATAATAGAGAATCATCCTAGCACTCTCTAACCAGAGATTTGGGGTCCTAACACTCAGTTCTCCTTAAGAGATAAGAACAACAAATATATGAACAAGCAGAAAATTACAGGAACTGAAAAAAAAAAAAAACTAATAACTTGGACACATAAGGATGGAAAATTGCCAACAGCCTTCCCCCATTCCCTCATCTCACACCCGCAACCACAAAAGCGGCCCGTGACTGCCTGGGACTCCAGGGCCGAGGAGCAGACTACAGCACCCACATTCAGATGCAGAAAACTCCCACAGCGCTGGAGCAGAACAGTGCAGAAAGAGACAGAAACCAGCAGCACACCACTGGGACACCCAGATCAGAAGAGCTCCCAGGGCTCCACAGGCCAGCCCACAAACAACTGCAGCAGAGCTCTGAGGAAGGCTCCACAGCTTGGCGCCTAGGTGGCAGGAGCAACTCCTCAGCTGGGTGGTGGGAGTGGTCAGCGGCCACCAGGGACACCAGACCCTAATGGCAGCATTCAGACAGAGATTTGCCACCATATCACCAGTCAGACCTCATCCAATTCCAGGATCAGTAAATACCCTGCCCGGCACTCTCACCCCATGATAGTGACCCACAAAGATTGGCCCAGACCCCTCCCTCCCATCCAAGAAGGGGCACCACACTTGAAGAGGACAAAGAGGCCAGAGCCCTCATCCCCCGCCCCACCTGTTGGCTTCAAGCAGGAGGCCACTAGGACTCATACAGGGGAGGGGAGGGGAGGCGGCCGTAGGCACACTAGGACACTGCAGCTGCCACAGCCCCGGTATTGGCAGGGAAACCACATCTATTTGAAAACAACATAGACAAAATCCTGCACTTGCCAGGAGCCTACCTCTTCCAAAACCTCATGCCCATCCCTGAATCTAATTTCCCCAACCCTTCACAGCAGACAGGCCTAAGCTCCCAGTTGCAAGGAGACCAACCACTCCCTGGTTGGGAGCCACAAAGCATGCACACACTCCAGAGGCCAAGCATCGGCCACCTGAAGGAAGAGAGACAACTTGGGACCAAAACGCAAACTACCATGTAGCCATGGGAACCCATCCCTTCCTAGGTGTGCGTCCATCCATCCCAGAGGCTGGAATATAAGCTTCCCAGCCACTGCTGTGGACCACTGGATGGTGCTCCTTTAAGCTAGCCTAGGGCCAAGTACATGCACAGACGCTTGCTGTTCCAGGGACCTAGTATTGGCTAATCCACCCAATGTGAAGCAGTCCAGCCACCTGTTGGGCACAAACAGGCCAAGCCTGGTCCATGGCACTGACAATCTCTGAATCCAAATGCATAAATGACAATGGAACAGTACAAGATTCATCAACAATCAAGACAACAAACCAAATACAAAAGCCAACAACAATCCAGAGAAGGACCCTAGTGAGAATAAAGGAGAAAAGATAGAAGACAAAAGGATCATCAAAGAAATGGTGAAACAACTGGCTGTTGAAATAAAAAGGATATCCAAAAACTATTTGAAGGTTACAAAGACAAAATAATAAAGAAGATACAGGACTCCCAAAGAGATATGGAGACAAAAATAGAAAATTAAAAGATGAAATTAACACTGTGAAAACTGAACTCAACAAAGAACTGGAGGCATAAAAGGTTAAAATTTCACAATACAAACCATAGTGGAATCCATGGTAACAGAATAAGTGAAATGGAAAATAGAATATTATGAGTCAAGGATAAAATAGAGGGGCTAGAACAAAAAGTCAAAGGTATGGAAAAAACACTCAGAACCTACCAAAGGGAAATCCAAGAACTTGCAGATTCAGTTAAGAGATCAAATTTATGTATAGTCAGGATTGATCAGGAGAAAGAATTCAAAACTAAAGACATTGAAAACATACTCAATAAAGTAATAAAAGAGAACTTCCCAATCTTTTTTTTTTTTTTGGAGGGGGGCGGTCCGGTCGTGGGGCCTGAACTCTGGGCCTGGGCACTGTCCCTCAGCTCTTCAGCTCAAGGCTAGCGCTCTACCATTTGAGCCACAGCGCCACTTCCAGCATTTTTCTTTTTGCTTATGTGGTGCTGAGGAATCAAACCCAGGGCCTCAGACATGCAAGGCAAGCGCTCTACCACTGAGCCACCTTCCCAGCCCATGAGCCACCTTCCCAGCACCCCCAATTTAAGAGAGAAAATCTCACCCACCTAACAGAAGAATATCAAACCCCTACTAGACAGGATCCAAGAAGAAACACTTCTACATACATCATAATAAAAACACTAGACATGAATAGCAAGGAATTGCTTCTAAATATTGTAAAATCAAAGGAGCTGTATTACAAAGAAAGAAAATCAGAATCACTGCAGATCTCTCCACACAAACCATCAACACAAGGGGAGCCTGGAATGGTATAATCTAAGCCCTGAAGATCAACAACTGCCAACCCAAACCAGTATACCAAGCGAAGCTATCACTTACATTAGATGGTGAAACTGAAACCTTCCGTGACAAACAAAAATTAAAGGAATTCATGAACACTAAACCAGCATTACAAAGAATACTAAAGGGAGGAATACAATCTGAAGAAAACAAAGTCAAGGAAACAGACAAAAATCACTAGAAAACCAAGTTAGTAAACACAGGAAAGGGAGAGAAGCAAAATACAGGAAATCAACAAAAGGGCAGGAAACTCTCGATAATGACTCATCTCTCGATAATAACCCTAAACATTAATGGACTCAATTCCCCAATCAAAAGAAAGGAATAGCAATTGGAACAAAAAACAAGATCCATCCTATGTTGTCTCCAAGAGACCCATCTCACAAAGATACAAACAAACTCAAAGGGATGGAAAAAGATCTTCCATGGAAATGCACCCTGCAAGAAGGCGGGGTAGCTATATTGATATCTGATAAGTAGACTTTTCATTAAAATCAGAGACAAGGCAAGTCATTACATTTTAATAAAGGTAATGATCCATGAAGAGGTAATCACAGTGGTCAATTTTTATGCACCGAACAATGGAGCACCTACATCTGTTAAACACTTTTGGACTTACAGAACAAGATAGACTCCAACACAATAATAGTGGAAGGTTTTAATACTGTGCTCTCACCAAAGGACAGGCCATTCACACAAAAGATAAGCAAAGAACCCTCTGAATCAAATTACACCATAACCCAAATGAACGTAACAGAATCTACAAAGTATTCCACCCAACAATGACCCAATCCACATTCTTCTCAGCAGCCCATGGAACATTCTCCAAAACTGACCATATCAAGCCGGGCGCTGGTGGCTCACGCCTGTAATCCTAGCTACTCAGGAGGCTGAGATCTGAGGATCGCGGTTCAAAGCCAGCCCGGGCAGGAGAGACCGTGAGACTCCTATCTCCAATAAACCACCAGAAAACCGGAAGTGGCGCTGTAGCTCAAGTGGTAGAACCCTCGCCTTGAGCTGAAGAGCTGAGGGACAGCGCCCAGGCCCAGAGTTCAAGCCCCACGACCGACAAAAAAAAAAAAAAACTGACCATATCATAGGACACACAAAGAACCTAAGCAAATACAAGAAGATTGGCATAATTCCTTGCATCCTATCCAATCACAGTGGAATCAAACTAGTTCTCAACACAAAACATTCTGCAGAAAGTAGGATGAGGCTGAATAACACACTACTGTATAACACCTGGGTCATAGAGAAATTAAGGAAGAAATAAGAAAGTTCTTACAATTCAATGAAAATGAAAACATTACAACAGAACCTCTGGGATACAGCAAAAGCAGTGCTGAGAGGCAAGTTCACTGCCCTAAGCACACACATAAAGAAAACAGACACAGTGTAATAAAAAAAAAAAAAAAAAAAAAAAAAAAAAAAAAAAAAAAAGAAAACAGACACAGCTC